AAGCAAAGCTTTCACCATCTCAACCACCCATGGGAAAAGTTTTGACTTTTGGAGTATTTTGGATTTCAGAATTCCAGGTAAGGGAGAGGCAATATGTATTACAAACAAATTGGACAAAAGAAAACTAATAGAAGACACAGCTCAGCTCCTTCACAGAGATAACCAGGTCCATATTCTTTTTCATTTCATGAGATTACCTGGGAAAAAGACAAACATCTGATCTGTGGGGTCATCATTGTGGGCCACCAGCACAGTGAGATCAGTACGTCGGGGACGCCCTTCGCTGGGCTTGTCCCCAAACTGGGCTTTGAACTCCTCCAGTGTCTGGTCCAGCTCATCTTGGGTCACTAGGTAGCCTCGATCATGGCAGAGCTGGTTGTTTAAAGAGAAAAAGAGAAATCGATCTGTTTCAAAAGCATGCCAACACAGTCTGTAAACTTCAGAAATCAAAATAAATTAAACACATAAGTACAATTGTTTATTGCATTTTATACAGTTTTTAAAAGATTGTAATGTTGCATTGGGCGGTATATAAATAAATTTTATTATTAGTAGTAGTAGTAGTAGTAGTACTGTAAAGAAATTAATTTTCAAAGTAGTAGTCATGTTAGTCTCTTGCAGCGTAAAAAGGAGGAAGGAAAGGGAAGAAAGGAAAATAAAAATGTGACAGCACTTTTAAAAATGGATTTTATTTTCACCTAAGTTTTTGTGGATATAAACCCACTTCTTCAGATGCAGTACTAAATGGTATGGAAAGAGGTATGTAAACAGATGAAAGTCTTTATGCTTTCTTACAGGTCCAAAACACAGTGCAGAAATAATCCAGGTAGAAACTGCTTTAACTGCTCAGTGCTAGGGAATCCTAGGAATTGTAGTTTGTTGAGGTACCAGAGCTCTCTGACAGAGGCTAAATGTCTTACAAAACTACAGTTCCCAGAATTCCCTGGCATTAAGCCAGGGCAGTTAAAGCCATTTCAAACTGGATTATTTCTGCAGTGTGTTTTGGACTACAGTTACAAAGCAATGTTTTAAGGGTTTTGGAGTGACATTAGCTGCATCTGCACTGCAGAAATAACAAATAAATAAAATAGTTTGACACCACTTTAACTGCCATGGCTCAGTGCTATGGAACTGTGGGAATTGTAGTTTATTGTGGCACAAAAGCGGGAGCCCGATTATTTCTGCACTGCAGATGCAGCCAGCTACTGAAAACCACAGCTGTGGAGTGGGAGTTTTGGACTGCATCTGCATCTTCATGGTAAGGATGGAGAAACCGTGTTAAGGATGGAGGCCCCAGGGGAGGCGGGACTACAGCTCCCATAGGCCTCCTCTTGGGGCTTGCCCCTTCCACACTTCAGGAGATTTGCCATGGCCTTCCCCTGAGGCTGAGAGTGTGTGACTTCACCCGGGGGGGGGGCTTCTTCGCCTTAGGGTCATCATAAGTCGAAAACGACTTGAAAGCACACAACAACAACAATTACTCTATGAACTTATATGGTAAACCCGCTTGAGGGATAAAAAGGAGCAATAAAAATAAAGGAGCCAGTGTGGGATAGTGGTTTCAGTTCTGGGACTACGACTCCGGAGACCAGGGTTCGAATCCCATCTCGGGCATAGAAACCCATTTGGGTAGGTCACACTCTCTCAGCCTCAAGGGGAGGCCATGGCAAACCCCCTCTGAACAAATCTTGCCAAGGAAACCCGAGGACAGGGTCGCCATGAGTCGGGAGGGACTTGGAGCCACACAAAACACGCCTAAAAATAAAAAAAAAAATAGAACTATAATAATAACAGCACCAATAATAATAAAATTAGCGTATCACTAAAGGCCTGCCAGACCTGCATAATAGTCTTTCGGATCTTCCACAGCCGGTACGTCTCCTCCTCGTCGTCCATGGCGACCACACTAGGCCTCGACAGGACTAAGGCGACGCGCCAGGATGACGTAGTATAAAGGAGTCCGGAAAAGTCTACTGCGCATGCCTGGATGGAAACTGCGCATGCGCCAACGCCAGAAGGTTGCCTTGGCGCAGAAAGCGAGCGTTGTGGCCCTAGCCATTGGACTGCCTCCTCGCTCTCCCGAAGCCGTGATGCGCATGCGCCAACACTTCCGGATGGGAGAGTAAATTGGCTGCTGTTACCGTAGCAACGACCAAGGCTATATAGACTGAGGTTGCAGCCACAGTGCAGAAAGGAAGCAGTTTGACCCTGCTATAATTGCCGTGGTTCAATGCTATGGAATCCTGGGATTTGTAGTACAGAGAGCTATTCAGTTTCTCTGTCAGGGAGTTCTTGTGCCGCCACAAAACTACAAACCCCAGAAATTCATAGTATGGAGCCAAGTGGTGTCAAACTGGAATAATTCTGCACTGCAGACCAGGCCTAAGACTCTTGGGTGCATCTGCATGGCAGAAAGAATGCACTCTGACACCGCTTTAACTGCCCTAGCTCCATGCTATGGAATCCTGGGATCTGTAGTTCTAAGAGATATTTAAGCCTTCTCTGTCAGGGTGCTCTGGAGCCACCACAAAACTACAAATCCCAGAAATTCACAGCATGGAGCCGTGGCAGTTAAAGTGGCATCAAACTGGAATAATTCTCTGTCAGAGAGAGAGAGAGAGCGTGCTAGGGCCCCAGCAAACTACAAATCCCAAGATTTCAAAGAGGAGAGTGGAAGGCAGAGTGAGAAACCAGGACATTTTAAAAACAGCTGAAAAAGTGAGATGGCAGAGGGTTCATAGGCTCCAAATGGTCAAACTATTATAACACACTGGCCTTTCATAGTTGGAGGGTATGAGATGGATTTTAATCATTTTTGCACCCACCCACCCACCCAGTATTTTAACAATTTTATTATACTGAAATACATAAACACATACAAATGACAAAACTCCATATAAACATACATAACAATGCAAATATAAATAAATACACCTATCTATTTCTCTATTCTTATTTAAGTTAGTATTTCCTATAAATACCTCCCTGGTTGAGTTCACCTTATATTCCGTCATATTTTCACCTTTCTCTTTCTAACTGCAATTTTCTACAAGGGTTACTATATCTTTCCCCCAATTTCTACTATCTATATAAGTCTTAATATAAATTCACCTTTCTAATTCACTATCCACTTCACTATACACTTGTCCCGGCACAGCTGCGGCTTTGATTATTCACAGATTTTATTAATAGGTTCTCTCTAGGAATATCTAGGTCTTCCAGCGCAACTCTATGATCAACTTTAACCAAAAGTCGCACTGAAGGGCCTAGAGAGAAGACTCCACTAGGCATTTGTAGCTCCTCCAGCACAACTCTATGGTCAATGTGTGCCAGATGTTGACCACAGAGTTGCACTGGAGGACCTAGAGATTCCTAGAGAGGCGTTCTTTCAGGTAAATAGTGTTTTTGTTATTGGCGGGTTTTCCACATTCACGGGGGTCCTGAGCCCTTCAACCCTGTGAATGTGGAGGGACAAGTGTATATGATTTATAAATGTAATCAAAATTTCCTATATAATTCTTGTTCTTGCTCTCTAAAATCAATTGAAACATTTCTGACTTTCTATGATTTTGTCCTATTTTATTCCATATTTTTTAAAAATCAGATCCCATTGTTTCTGTATCACATCTGTTGATCTGACCTGAATTAATGCCATTAATGGTTTTTACATTTCTATCATGATGTTTTCATCATGTTTTCTCTTGTGAGCCGCCTTGAGTCCCTCTCTTTTTGATTTTGGGAGAGAAAGGCTGCACAGAAGTGAAATAAATAATAAACAAATGAATGTTAAACCCTAAATAATCTTGTGGCCTAGCCTATTTATTCTTCTGGGTTTGGAAAAAAACACACACCACATGCCATTGAGACATTCGTCAGAAATGGCAGATGACAACATCGCAACCAACAATCTTCCTTCTGCAGTTCCTATCTGTTGGGAATTGCAGTGAAGTCACAATGGGAGAAATGAAATGCCAAAAATGCAGGCCTCAACCAATCCTTAAATATGCGAATATGATGAATATTCATGTGAATATTCACATGATAATATGCAAACATGACAGCCAGCATGGCACAATAGTTTGAGTGTTGGACTAGGACTCTGGGTTGGAATCCCAACTCAGCCATGGACAGCAACGGGGTGATCTTGGGCAAGTCACACTCTCTCAGCCTCAAAGGATGGCAGTGGCAAACCCCTCTGAAGAAACATGCCAAGAAAACCCAATTAAAGGCTCACCTTAGGGTCAGCATAAATCAGAAATGACTTGAAGGGACACGAGAACAACTACAACAAACAACAATGTGAATATATGTATATATAATATATAATACATAATACATAATATATAATACAGTGGCCTTCCACAATCACCATAAGGGTGATAACATCCTGCTATTAGTAAGCCAATTAACATCTGTTGCGGGATCAAAATTCGTTATTTTGATTCAAGCCACAGGTAATGGCTTGTTTTTCAACACAAAGGTTTGTTAATTGCCTTATCAAAGCCAGGATGTAAGTGTCACACTGTTGTGGGGAATGTTTCTTCTGTTTATTTTGCATACTTTTTGCATACATTGTAGCTGGCTTTGTAACATCATATCCTAAATTATCCCCTCCAACTGTCCCAATTTGGTAGAGACAAACCTAGTTACTCCTCTGCTGTCCCACTTTTTCAGCTGTTTTTAAAAGGTCCTGGTTTCTCCCTCCTTCTCCCATTTTTTGGCTTTGTCCTCAGATTATTTCATTTGCTGCAAACTGAGTTTGGAGTGTAAAAGTCGCTTGCACTCAACCCATCAGCGGGGATTTAATTTGGCTGGGATTAATCCTCCATCATCCCACTTCTTCATCTGCTTTCAAAATGTCAATTTTTCCCTACTCTCACTTTCCACCTTTGTCCTCAGTTTATTTCATTTGCTGCATACTGAGTTCAAAGTGCAAAAGTCATTTGCACTCAATTAAATCATCATTGGGGAGTTAATTTGGCAGGGATTAATCCTCCATCATCATCCCACTTCTTCTTCTGCTTTTAAAAATGTCAAATTTTGTCTCCATTCACTTTTCTCCTTTGTCTTCAGATTATTTCAATTCCTGCAAACTGAGTTCACAGTGCCAAAGTCATTTGCTGTTGTTTGTCTTCAAGTCCTTTCCGACTTATGGCGACCCTAAGGCAAACTTATCACAGGGTTTTCTTGGCAAGATTTGTTCAGAGGGAGTTTGCCATTGCTTTCCTCTGAGGCTGAGAGAGCGTGATTCTCCCAAGGTCACCCAGTGGGTTTCCATGGCCGAACTGGGATTTAAATCCTGGTCTCCAGCGTTATCTTACAATGCTCAAACCACTGCATCACACTGGTTCTCAAGTAGTTTGCACTCCATTAACAATGCAATGGGGAGAGGAGAGGAAGGGACAAAATCTAGGACTTCCCAGTTGGCTCAGGCAAAAGCAAACTGCTGCACCATCTCTGAGCTTGTTTTTCCTTCCTCGTCCCAAAAAAATTGCCATCTTGACCATGCTCTGATGTTCCTTGGCCACACGTATCCTGGCTTTCATCTGTGAAATGTCGGATGTTGTGTATCGCATGATAAAACTGACCATGAAAGACTATATTTTGACCTGCCTTGCTAATCAAGACATGAAAGCCCCATGCAGAATGCACTCAACTTGCCTTTTAACTGTTATATTTTAATGATGCATGTATTACATAAGGGCATTTTAATTATTTTGTAGCATTAACTGTTTTAATTGTTGGTTTTATGTATTTCTTTTTTTAAATTGTGTTTTGTATTTTAACTTGTAGCCTTGAGGCCAGGCAGGAAAGAAAGAACATTCCTGATTACTCCTATTCCTACTGAAGTAGCTAAATGCTTGTGTGTGCTTCCTGAACTTTTATGAAGAACTTCTATGGTCTGGTCTATGCTGTTTGGGACCTTGTAAGAATAATACGTTTTTTGTTGCCTATCTCTCCTGAGACTCATATGATGTTCCACACTTGACACAACATTCACTCTGATAAGACTTCCCGTTCTGTAAACATCTTCTTTGTTCTCTAAACATTTTTCAAAATGCATTTCAACACAGAGAAATGTAAGGTACTGCACTTGGGGCAAAAAAATGAAATGCATAGATATAAGATGGGGGACACCTGGATTAACAAGACTTCGGTGTGACAAGTTGAACATGAGCCAACAGTGTGATGCAGCAGCTAAAAAGGCCAATGCGATTTAAAGCTGCATCAATAGAAGTACAGTATCTAGATCAAGGGAAGTAATAGTGC